AATTCGACAACTTAATTGTGTTTCTTATAATTAAAATAATTGGGTAATAAATATATACTTATGGAAGTAATAAAAATTTGTTAAGAGTTAAATATAATAAATAAGTTGAAATATGTCAATAACTTTTTTTTAGCTTAGTTGATTTAAATAAGTTAACTTTTAAAAATTTTAACTACAATATATAATTATATTATATGTATACATATATATGTATATATTGTAAAACATTTATAATTTTAATACAGATAACCTGTTCTTTTATAATAATTATTATAATACATCTTCCTGTAATAATTACTATATTTTTATCTATAAAATTATTTGCGTAATTTTTTCTATATAATTCTTTAACTATAAATAACTATAGTTTCATAATTATATTATAATTGTATGATTAAGGAAAAAATACATTTTCATATAAAAGATGTAACAAAAATATTGTATTATATGTATACTTTATGTAAACTTACATTATTATGTGCGTGAAACGATCAAACTCCCGCGATATACATGTAATTGTGCTGTAAAATAAAATCTGTATTTTATAATTCAAAATATTTGTATTTGTCATAGAACTTTTATAAGTTAACTTGTTATAAATTAACTACAATTAGTTTCTATATATATACATATATATTACTGATTACATACATACTAGTGCGCGAACTAGGCCGAATTCGTTATCACAATTTGCAAATGAAAAACTAAAGATTTTCGAAATTTCTGGTGATTAACTTAAAGATTTTTTAAATTCTGTTTTAGAAATTTTTTCTATCGATGGATTGGCAACACTGCTCCGGTCTCGAATTACCTCTGTTCAGAACAGTCTGTTCTTTTCTTTATAATTTTATGCTATGCCACGCTCATGCCACGCTCACGTTGTCGGCTTCGCTACCGCTACTTGCCGCCTACACATGTGACTGTACACGATTATTGACTGTGTATACGCGACGTTATATACGTATATACGACCAGTAGAAAAATTAAATTTAATAATGTCGATAGCATTGGGAATGTGCGAAACACCTGGGTGTAACGCCGTTGCGAGTTTGCAATGTCCAACTTGTTTGAAAATCGGCATTCAGGGTTCATATTTCTGTAGCCAAGTAAGACACGTTAACTCCGTTACACGTTATACCATTTTAGGTTAAATTAGTTATTTTACTTTCTCAATTTAATCTTCTTCCAACGTTACGAATTTGTAGCGTATATGTCAACAGATTAAAATAAGGATCTAATATTTTAAATTTTTATTAGTGAACCCACGCGAAATATTTACTAGAGTAAACTTCCATCAATAGAGTTGATCGCCAAGAGTTACCATTGATCTATCAGTTATATTCTGGAATTCTTGTTGGTTTTAGTTGTTCCTATTGCAATGAAATAATATTTCTCCACTTAACATTCTTCATACGTCTTTAGTGAGAATAGAGAGACATATAATGATTCTGCTTCTCTCATGAAAGAAAATTGTTATTATGCTATTCGTAAATGATTTGAATTGTTATCAAATATCCGAAAAAAACACATGCATCTATGAAAATTTTACTTTTATTTCTGATTTGATTTTACACATAGCCCAATAATTAATGCTTTTGTTATCACTTTATATAAAATCTATTATTTATATTTTTTCTAGTAAAAAATGTTTATTTATTATATTAATCATCCCCAATTAACATAACAATAAATAACACCCAATAAACATTCTAATTTTCAGAATTGTTTCAAAAGTAGTTGGAAAACACATAAAGTTATCCATCAATTGGCACGTAAGTATCTTGTGTAAGAATCATTTATTAAAACTCTATGATTTTGTTATCATTGTGTAATATATCTGTGCGTAATTAGAAGGAGAAAATGGAAATAAAGTTTCTGACACTTATAATCCTTGGCCTACTTACAATTATACTGGAAAATTACGACCATACAAGAAAGAACAACGTAGAGAAGTTCCTGAAAGTATTACTCGCCCAGACTATGCCTTACATCCAGCTGGGATACCACTCAGTGAACAAGCTGTAAAAGGTTCTGGTCAAATAAAAATTCTTGATGATGAAGAAGTCGAAGGCATGAGAGTCGCATGCAAGGTACAGTATGCATTCCTCTGTGCTTGAATAACATGGATGTCATACACAGAGAGAGAGAGAGAGAGAGAGAGAGGAGTAATATTGTTGAAATTTTCATAAACTCTCGATTTTCTTTTTGTGTTTTCAATGTATTAATTCAAAATTTTGTGTAGCTTGGTCGAGAAGTCTTGGATGAAGCTGCAAAGACATGTGGTGTTGGTGTTACAACGTCCGAAATTGATAGAGTGGTGCATGAAGCTTGTATTGAAAGAGATTGTTATCCATCGCCATTAAATTATTATCAGTTTCCTGCTAGCTGTTGTACTTCTGTTAATGAAGTAATTTGCCACGGTATACCTGATACCCGACCTTTGCAAGATGGCGATATTTGTAATGGTAAAAAATTTGTTAATATTAATTATAACAATGCAGGATTGCCACATATCTAGAAAATCTAGGAAAGTCGAATAGAAAAATATAAAAGAGCTTGAAATTTTCAACTTCTTCTCATGCTCTTAAATGCTCTTACTTTATAGAACACTTGTAATTTTTTTGAAGTATATCTAAATTTCTAATCAAAAAAATATTGAAAAATTATACATTTTATAAATTATTTTTTACGTATTTCTTCAATGGGGCACTTTTGAGATGCATTCATTCTTTTATTCGCAATGCTGTTTTTCTATAAGACTTTGAAATTTATTGACTCTGTTGTCCTTTTTTATCTGTTTGCAGGGGCTTCTCTATTTTTTTGTTTTTTTATTACTACTTTTTGCTAGCGTATTTAAATTCTCAACTTATTTGTTAGCATCGGTAACGTTAGGTTGTTTCAACAATGAATTAACTGATGGACTTAAAATTCAAACATTAAGTATACATGTAAGAGCAAGTGAAAATAAATGTGTAGAAATCAATGCATTATAATTATAAAATGTTAAGTATACATATTTGCAATTTTGTTACATTCTATAATTGTATGACGCAATATTTGATCAAATATTTCGGCTAATTTAAATTTTTGTAAATAATCATTACTGTTTTTTATAATAATCTGTGGAATATTCACTTTAAACTATTATCTTTTTTATATTAATTATATATCATGTTGGTTGAAAATTAGTCAAACCATCTGATTGAATGTTACATCTTGTGCATAACGAAATTGTAATTACAAAATATTTTACATTTTATTGATTTTATAATTACCACACAATTGTTTACTTCCACTTGCTCTTACGTATCAGTTTATTGATTAAATTGCTTGTCAATTTAATTTATCATATTACATATTTTACAGCTTCAATTTAAGATTATGCTACAAGACCGACAAATAATCGGTGCGCAGCTTGAATTGGAAATCATAAAAATTCTCACACCAAAATGCAATATTATTAGATACCAAGATCGCCTTGATCGAATAATGTGGCCTTCTTTTTGCGTGCCACTTATTTGTGTTGAACATTTTGCGATCCATTTTCTTAATGTTATTAAAGATCACATATTTTATGGAAAATTTTTCATCATTTTCCATCACCTTTAAATGCCAGAAAATTTCAAAATTAATTTTCAGTGACAGCCCTGATCATAAGAAAAGTTTCTTTCTTTTAAGAAATATCATACCATATATATCACCTAATAATTACTTCTTTCCAGTTGATGTTACCGTATATCACAACGGTTTTCACGGAGATTTGAATGAAACCTTTTTAGTGGGTAATATAAAACCGGAAATAAAAAAGTTGGTAGAAGTGACATATGAATGCTTGTCTAAAGCTATCGACATTGTGAAACCTGGCGAAAAATACAGAGAGATTGGTAATGTCATACAAAAGCATGCACAAGCGCATGGTTTCAGTGTGGTTCGTAGCTATTGTGGTCATGGAATCCATCGTTTATTTCATACCGCGCCAAATGTACCACATTATGCTAGTAAGTAGCTTTTCTAAAGTAATTAAATGTCTTTTCGATCAAAAAGTTATATAAGTAAACTTTATTATCTAGAAAATAAGGCAGTAGGTGTTATGAAACCCGGGCACTGCTTCACAATCGAGCCAATGATATCTCAAGGTACATGGAAGGACGAAACATGGCCTGACAATTGGACTGCTGTTACGCTGGATGGCCAATGGTCAGCGCAATTTGAGCATACGCTTCTAGTAACAGAGACCGGTTGTGATATTCTTACGAAACGGCTTACAAATAACGGTAGCCCATGGTTTATAGATCACTTGTAGTAGCGTTTTCTTCTTTATTTTCTTATAACATTTAAAACAAGACTCGAGCAATCGATACGAATCTAATGTAAGTTGTCTTGTATATTTTACAAAGTACACTAACTTCCTGTTTTTGCAAATGTATAAGTAAAAAAAAAAATAAACAATATATAATTATCCTTCCAATCTTTTGCATAAAAGCATTTGTGGTATACATTGTATTTGTCAGTATACGACAACAGTTTCGAACACTAAATTCTAAATTCATCGAGTTCTCACAGACGAGAGTTAAAGAGATACATCTAATAAACTAACATGTACTCAGAGTGAAGTATATCAATCCTATATACACATATCAAATTGTTATTGATTTACCCGTCATATATTTACTTGTATGATTTACACCACATATATGTTGCACACATATATGTCCTTGCCAAACAATGATGTGAAACACAACACAAGTAAAATTTTACAATCGTTTTCATTGGCTTGTCAACGAGATAATAAACATACACGTCGTAACATGTATATATATATATATATATGATACGTTATGTCTGAATTCTAATACAGGCGCACGAGTATAAATAACTTTAATAAATAAATTATTAATTTACAACTTATACTACTAACTACACTATACTATTTCTTTTTTTCTAGCAATCACGTCGATTATTAATATGTGCGTTCGATAATATTTATGTTTTTCAGTTTTTTAAGAACGCAAACGATTACCAAACTCAATAGGGGAATCATTATCGTGCGATTTTGTATTTGCATCGAGCAAAGTCGCCGATTGTGTATCTTCAATTTCTCCATCTTCATTCTCATACTCGTATTCGATATCTATATCGTCTTTCTTTATATCACTTTGATTATTGTCGCTCGTAGCGTAGTCACTCTCGTCAGGTACTGTAATTTGTAGAGGTAACTTTTCATCGTTTTGCACTTTATAACTTTGTCTGCGGTGATGCTGCTGACTATTCTGGTTTGATTTCAGTTGATTATATTTTTGTTGTTCATCATCATCGATCTGAGACTTTCTATAATTTACTACATCATCATCATCGTTCTTATGATTAAGCGGCACTGATTCATCTTTTTTCATACTTTTTTTCTGTTGTTTTCGGAGCTGGCCGATGAGACGACTGTTGATATTACCAGCAGCGGCCAACGCAGCTAATTTTTCAGCAGCCTCTCTGTTGGGAAGTGTCGTATAGAATCTTGTCGATATAGGACTATCGTTGGCCACTTTATCGAAATACTTGGTCAGATTTCTTTGGGCTATTTCTCCATATTCGATATTGTTTTCAGATTGTTCGGTTGTTCCATCTATAGGATATGTAAGTTCTTCGTTGGAGCGTACATTGTGTATGTCAAAGGAAGATTCTGAATTAAGATTATAATCTGCCGTGACACTTTTATTGTTTTCAGATTGTTCGGTTGTTCCATCTATAGGATATGTAAGTTCTTCGTTGGAGCGTACATTTTGATTGTGTATGTCAAAGGAAGATTCTGAATTAAGATTATAATCTGCCGTGACACTTTTCGAGGCGTAATCTCGATCAGATAAAATTTGCTGCTCTCGCTGCTGTATTAACTGGTCAGTCTGTTCATCATAATTGAAGGAATGCATTTGTGGTTGAGAAAAGCTTGTTACTGCATCTGATTCTGATATTTGGCCAAATTGTTGCTGAAGGATGCGTTGTTGATCTAATAATCATAAAAATTTGAAATAGCTTTTAGTCTAATATTGGCATTTTCTTTTGTAAGATTTATTAAAGAAAAAACTGCGATTCTAATAATTATAATTAGAATAGAATGAGTGAGTGAGTGAGGGAACGTGCGTGCGTGTGAAAAATTTATTTTATGTGCATACTAATAGATAATAAATATATCTCTTTATCTGACTATAATTAAGTGACTATATCAATTCAGGCATACTCAGTTTGAAATATCATCATTGAAAAGCGATAATAAATTCTATCTCTTTTCAATGATGATATTTCAAACCGAGTATACCTGAAAAAATTGATATAGTCGGTTATTGATATAGTTCAGTTAGTTATTACGAGCTTTCAAAAAATTGAGCAGCCCGAAAAGAAATACTATTATGAATAAAATTGGTTTTCACTTCCTACGATGTGAAAAGGATCAGTTCCTATACTATGCAATTGTTTAAAGCGCTTTCCTCGGGCTAAATGTAATCCTATTCTAAATATTAGGCCTACAACTTAATTCTCAGTCTTTTTTTAACCAAATTTCGATGTAAAATTTATAAAAGAACGGATATTAATCTAATCAAAGTAATCTCCTTTATTTTCCACACATTTTCGCCATCTTTCAAGCAACTATGTCGGATTCCGCTTCGGGGAAAAAATTGTTGTTTCCAGTCGATGAATTCTATGATGAAAAAAACTAAAATTGCCATCACGAAATCTTTGGTACCACTTTTTATATGTACACAGAGTTTTCGCCTAAGCAAATCATTTTCTAATGATTCCGCGACATTTTTCTTCAGTTGGAGGCAGTATCTCAAATACTGCTTTTCGAACGACATAGTTTTCACTATTACTTTTTGAAGTTAGATTCGCAGGCACCGACACTTATTATACCTTATTTTGAAACTTAAAAATGACGCTTTAAAACGACAAGAAAAAAATTCAAATTTTAATAAGCCAATTGAAGTAGTCAATTGAATATATAAGAGCCGAGAATGAAATTGTAGACCTAATAAATTAGCATTACCTGTTGTATATTGTTCCGCAAGTTTAGGTGGAAAATCATTTAACAGATCGTAGAGTTGCGAAGCTGATAATGGTGGCCCTGCTGGAGCAGGATGGCCCACGTGAAGATCCGCTGGTATCTGTTGTGCTATAGTGTACGGTGGAATGGCAGTAGAAGGAAATCCGACGTGTAGAGAACTATGAAGATTCGTTTGCATTGGCATGTTTGATTGGCCAAATTGTACATTCGAACCTAGAACACTCGTATCTGAGTTAACTGGGTGATTTGCAAAAAGCTCATTAGATTGCGGCTGAGGATTGTTAATTATAATTGAGTACAGCTTCGTTATATCTAAATCCTGCGGTTGAAAAATAGCCGACTGAATAGTTTGCTGTTCCTTTGGAATTACGTCGTTGCTTTCTGTAACTTCGTACTGATGTTGCGGCGGAATCAAGTTTGTCACTGTTCCTTGTGACGAACTACTACTAATAGTGGCTAATCCAAAATTGGTTCTTCTAGGATCTGTAAAGAAAGTAATATTCATCATCAGTACCTTATTTTACCCAGCTCAAAGTATAATGGCAAAGTGCGTAATGGAATGAAAATTATATATAATACTTACTTTGTACAGAAATATGATAATTGAGGTCGCTTGATGACTGATACGGTCGGCGGTCCATGATATCTTCCAAATTGGTAGCCATATTGTATGGCTTATCTGCTGGGCTTAAATTGGGCGCCGGAATCGTATGAATAGGTCCTTTATCATCATCGACATCCCCTCGATGAGTAGGTGGCAAAACTACTAATTCTGCAGGCTTGTATTCCGGACTGTATTCCGGTACCTTGTTTATAGAATACAATCCTTTAGTGGAAACACGTTGTGACAAAATTGGTCGATTATTCAGGGATATTGCTCGCATTGGAATTTGATTCTTCCAGCTAGTCGACAAAACGTTATAAATTGGCCGACGAATTCTAAAATTGAGAATCAAGTTATCGTGATGTAATAAATAAAAGGAAATATTGCACATTTAAAACTTTTTACCTATAATTGGTGTGCTTGTTGTAAGGTACTCTCTGATGAGATAGACTACTACCAATATGAATGGTGTTTCCCATAGATATTCTCTGATTAATAGGCCGAGGTTTTTTTAATATCAATGTAGAAGCGTACGGTGGAGATAAAGGTCTTCTAATCTTATTCTTTGCTTCGGAAAGGCAGATACACGCGGCGAGGAGCCAGCAAATCCAACTAGTTGTCTACAATTGGTTTATACATACAGCGTATCGAATTGATTCTCTATTTCGCTTTTTCCGAAAAATTTCAACAGGGAAACTAAGAAAGATTGTTCCTATTATATATGTATATTCAATTAAAGCGTAAATAAAAGTGAAACGATTTTTACTTTACACAGCATCACTATACATAGTAGAACCTGCGTATATAGCTCTTTGGGTTGTGTGATCGTATCACGAATAAACGTCGGTACATTATATGCATGCGTATCCGTAAAACCAAAGAGAAAATTGCCGCAAATAGTTATAGTGTACCAAATGTGGGACATTGTGCCACATTGATGTTGGCGAGGAAAGCGAGCGTAGTCAATTCATAAAGCAAGAAGAAAATGTACGTAAAAATGTAAAAATTTACAGAATTTTTAAATACTTATCTAATTAATACTATCTAATTAATTGTAAATGATTTAATATATAATATTTTTCACATCCAATCTATTGCATCGTTGATGAAAATAAGCTTAAATTTTTATCCACTGTCGATTAAAAAAAAAAAAAACAGAAGATTTCTTGTTAAAAAAATATCTGTTACGGCAATGAACGATAAGTGTGTGTGGCATATCATTGATAGCGTGTAAGATAATTATTATAAATAATATAATAGTAACTGAAAAATCGATCAAAAAAAATAAAGACTGCCTTCTCTCTTCGAACAATAATTATTAAAAAATTTCTATATTTTTTAAATATATTCGTAAGCTGATCATATCAGTTACAAACGTGTGTATTAGTGAAAAGTGGAAAGAGATAGAGGGACATATTTATCAATGGTGTGTTAATTAACTTATAATGATTAATCAAATAAGTTAAAGAAGACGTAGTCGATTAAAGTGGATCTTGGTATCTAATAATAATATTTTTGCATAAATCTTACAATTTCCAGTTCAAGCTAACTGCGCGCCGATTATTTATAGAGTTTGAAACACTGCAATCCTAAATTGAAATTGGAATAGGTAATGTGTAAATTGACAAGCAATTTAATAATTATAAATGTTAAGGTAACGCTTGTTATATTTTAAGAACAACAAAAATAAGACATTATAAATTTCGGTGTTATAAACAAGCAAAACGAAGTAAGTAAATCAAGTATTTCTGTATGAGTCGAAACGTTTCGCTTTTTGAAATTATGAGATTATTGTAATAAAGATTGTCATCCGCTACTTACTTTGTTTTACTTGTTTATAATACCGTTTATAATATCTTTTATTTTTGTTGAATTTAATAATTGCGATAAAAATTAATAAGAGACATGTGTTACGGAATAGAATAGCAAAGACTAGGTTGGAGAATCCTGGCTGGAGTAGTATTTTCCACAATAAACTCTTTACGGTGTTTGAAAATGTTCACCCCCGGTAATCAGACAGAGAATGGATTAAAATAAATTGAAATTTGTATATGCACATTGTTAAAACATTTTTTATTCTACAATTGGATTCAATTGAATTCAATTGAACTGAAAAACTGCATTCCCTATGTAAAATTTTGAATTGAACAGTATTCACGACGAACAGAGAAAAATTTTGATTTTTAGATTGAAAGGCATAAGAGTGTGTGCTTCATGCAATTCCTATAAATGAATAAAAATGTATTCTGAAAATTAAAATCCATTTTAAACTATTATATTCTGATCGCTTACTAGTTAAATCACTTGTCAATTAAATTTACACACGTACTCTAGCTTCAATTTAGGATTGTATTTCAAAACTGATAAATAATTTTGCTGGAACTATAAATTATCAAATTCATGCAAAAATATTATTAAGCACCAATAAAGATCCGCTTTGATGTCGGTTATCTTTGCTTATTTGCGCGTTGTCCCAATATAAATAAATATTACCGTAATAATCAAGTTGAATCTTTTGTATAATTAAGACAAATATTGTCCAATAGTATATATACACTCACAGGCAAAAAAAACGGGCCACTAATAATTTTAGCACTTAATATTTTCAAACAGCGCGAACTCAGTGAAAAGTCATCGTAGCGAGATGTTTAGAAAAGTATTTTAAAGTTTGAAATCTTTACTTTTCAGATCGCGGTACTTAAAAATACAGTTAAACTGATATATGAAATTACACAAATATAAATGAAGATGCATAAAATCTCAAAATTTTTTACGAAATTTGCAAAGTTCGCACGGTGTCAATTAAAAATTAAGCACAAATGGGGTTTACAGCTTTCGAAAGAGTAAATCTTTACCTTTAATTTGCTTTTTTACTGAGTTCTGTACGATTTTTTTTTCACTGCGTTATCACTGTAAATCCCATTTGTGTGGAATTTTTAATTGATGGAACTTTGCAATCAGTTCAACCGTTTTCTAAGTACCGATGAAAAAGTAGATTTAAGCTTCAAAATACTTTCTTAAGCATATATATCTCGCTACGATGATTTTTCACTGAGTTCGCGCTGTTTGAAAATATTTAAAAAATTGTGCTAATATTTAGTGGCACGTTTTTTTGCCTGTGAGTGTATATATATCCTAATAAATTAAAACTTTTATAAATATTTTTTTATAATGCGCTAAAGAAATCACGTACTTATTCCAATGAACGTCTAATTTTTGCACAAAATATATAACATACACATACGTGTATCTTACCTTCATAATAATTTATGACTATTCTGATTGACTGTTACATACAAAACTACACCGTTCCCGTTATAAGAAATTGTCCGACTTTTTTTTTATGTATCTCAATAAGAAAATAATTTAGTGGTACACTTATAAATAATGGAGTATGAATTGCACGCACGGTGATTGACCATCAAAGACGCACAACACGTTCTGCACACAATTAGGTCATTGTCCTTCATTTATACTCCGAACCAGCGAACGTATTATCCAAGACTGAAACTGACCTCCTACCTGATCGTCAATCTACAACAGTTTCTTCGGGATATATATATCCGGTAAGATTGGGGAAAAAATTAAATTTATCTACTCGATGGATGATAACAATTTTATTAATATACAATTTTGTACGATAATTGATTTAATATTTTATTTTTTCAATATGTTATAGTACAATCACCAAAAAATTTTTACAATATATATATATATATATATATGCTCAAAAAAGAGAAAGCTGCGTAAGCGTCGTATATTTACACTGGCAATAATCAAAAGAAACTTACAAAATTCTTGGATAAAATGTACAGTTTAAATATAAATTAAATTTAATTAGCAAACATTATGGGAAAAAAACTATTCTCACCATTATATTTGTTATAATACAAAATATTTATTGACTGTGTACACGCGCGCGCAGGAAAAATAAGATATCTTTCTTATCGAACCATATGTTTCTTACACTGCGAATCAGATTTGATTGAACGCGTAATTTGGTCACGCTCTCGCAACATTTCTCTCCATATTCTCATACCGGCAGACTCGCTTAGGAATGCAGTCGTTGATGCGCGTAAATTAAATTACCACACGTGTGTGATCCAGTAACCTATATATATGTGTGTATATCTATGTAATATATATATGTGTGTGTGTGTGTGTGTGTGTGTGTGTGTATAATTCTAAAAAATTTATTGAAGCTCACAAAAAAAGAAATTATTATTAATGTTTGATTATTATTAATGCGCACTGAGTGCGAACTTTTTTGGTGCCACACATTCGGAATGTGCGCACCGTATCAGTGCGCTTGGATTATCGTATTTGGCAAATGAAAACTGACCTTGCTGAATTTGTGTTTGGACGAACCGAATGAACCGAACGAGTGCAAGAAATATTGCACTGACATTTTTGTCAGGGCAGTTTGGTGTAGTACGGACAAGTAAAACTAGTTAGGCAGAAAAAAATTACAAAATGGATAAAGAAAGAATATTATTTATTATAGATAAATTATTATTTAATTAAAAATAAAAAAATTAAATTATTATTATTATTATTATTAATTAAAAATTAAATTATTAATTGAATTATTAATTAGTGTAGTTTTGCATTCGCTCCGTGTCAGGGTAGTACCCTATCAGGGCAGCACCCTATCAGGGCAATACCGTATCAGGGCAACACCGTTTCAGGGCAGCACCGTGTCAGGGCAGCACTAGAACCGTACGTGCATATGTATCGAATGTGCCATAAGATATCAGAGAAGCTTCAGTCAGTATCGCAAAACTACTAAGAAAAGTACTAAAAATGGCGTCGTTTGCAGACGAACTATGAAATCCACCAATCGTCTGTTAGTCAGCCATTTTTAGTACCACTGAATGAATGTCATGATTGGCTGACAGTCAGGTAATCAGAATGCGGCACACCGGTTACGCTTCTCTGATATCTAGGACTCTAGAGTGGGTATAATGGCTCTTGCATACCAGCGCGATGTTCATTCGTCGCGCGCGACACACGATATCCAATAAACGTACAGCTTTACCGATGTTCTCATTCTTAAAGCTAGACGCTCATTGGATATCGCGTGTCGCGCGCGACGAACATCGCGCTGGTGTGCATCTGGTACAAAGGAGCCTACAGACCAGAGCGGCGCAGCGGTGAAGCGGCGAGCGATAGCCAATGAGAGGCCATTCACCGCTGCGTCGCTCTGGTCTGTAGGCTCCTTAATGGCTCCAGCACACCCTGGACGCGGAAACGCTTGCCGCGCGGTAAAACGGGTGCATCCATGACCGCTCACTGAGCTCTCAATGAGCACTGATTGGCATATTCCATTAGATCTTAAAAAATAAACCAAATAGGTTCAAGAGCGCTCAATGAGCTCTTTCATCAGATTGGCATATTCCGTTTAGATTCTAAAATATAGACCAATCAGATGAATCAGCTCAATGAACGGATGTGCTTCTGGATGCACCTAAGTGACGCCAATGGGCGCATTCAGCAGAAAAGAGCGCTACGAGAGCGCTCGCTGTTATTGGTGTATTCTTCTAGATCATCCAATCAGAATTTTAAATCTGGAAGAATATACCAATAACAGCGAGCGCTCTCGTAGCGCTCTTTTCTGCTGAATGCGCCCAATAAACATGTTTGGAGCTGTAACATTTTGGAGCTGTCACATTTTGCTGCGCGGCAAGTGTTTCCGCGTCCAGTGTGCTGGAGCCATTACTTTTGGGCGACACAAGTGCCCCCCATCGGCGACAGGGCCTATGTGTCTGGCAACCCTGGGGCTAGAGGGCCATTCTGTAGTGAAGAAGAAGCTAGACGCTATTGCATGATATCTGTATGAACACACACATACATTGCATACATACAACACCTGGTTATTTGGGGCGTAGTATCGTCGTTTCGGTTCGGTGTCATTTATAAATAATCTTAATTTTGTGAATGTCATAATTATTTAAGCGACTTTCCACGAAATTAAAACATGTCCACGAAATCTCCAGTAGATTTGCGATCGGAGTTGGCGGAATTAGTGAAACGCAAAGCAGAGATTGCTGCAAGTACCCATGTTGAACCAAATTGTTATGCATACAAATATTATTACGTTGAATTTCGTTACATGCTTGCATGCATGTTTGCAAAATGTACATTTTACAACATGTTTCAATTGTCACATTCTATTTTAAATATAAATAATATATAATTGATTACTTGTGATTGAGGTTAGGTTGTAACACTTGAAAAGGTTGAATTTAAAAAATTAATACAATTAAGCTTGTAAAAGTGTTCAATCGATATTTTTATTGTTTTGAAATATAGCAATTGCAATAGTTACTAATGATTTGTATACTAATATATACAATCAGATGAATTTTTACAAAGATTAATTTTTATAGGAGACATTAGCCAACTTGGAACGTCAAATATATGCCTTTGAGGGAAGCTATTTAGAGGATACTCAATTGTATGGAAATATAATAAGAGGTTGGGATAGGTATTTATCAAGCAACAAAAATACTAACAGTAAAGCTGATAAGCGTAACAGAAAATTTAAAGAAGCAGAAAGATTATTTTCTAAATCTTCCATTACTTCCATGGCTGTAAGTAAATACATCTATTTAAGGAAATTTTATTTCTTATGTACATGAATTTTTTATCATACAGATATGTAATACAAATTTGCTATTCATAATACAAAATTAAAATTTTACATACTTTTTTCAATGTTTTTAAGAGACATGTGTAATATTGTATATTAATCTTATCAAAATGTTATTAGATTAATTTATATTATTTTTTATTATAGGCAGTTAGCGGACTCGTTGAGAACACACAAGAAAAAAGTAAGGACCTCAATGGATATTCATGATAATATTTGTTTATAAAGATACTGTTCTTGTATTTTGTACACTTTCTTTATTATTCTCTTTTCTGTAGAAATAATAGCATTTTTAATTTGATAAATATGTTTAGTAGTTGTTTATGTTTGATTGAAATGGTTCCCTGATATTGTGTTATCATGTTACAAATAGATGTATTTGCATACTGATTTTCTTGTTTGGATTGCTTTACATCTGAAAAATTATTAGAATTAGCATCTGATATTCTGATATGATAAAATTAATATTCCCGATGAAATGAAAATTACATTTCATGTAGAAACATGTTGTGTTTAATCATGAATGTCATTATTAATGACTTGCAGATTGATCTTAAACATAATACTAGCTAAAATTTTTTTGTTATCCAGATAGAAGTAGTTGCGACATATCTGTCTGCTTGGTAGTATACAAATGTTTATAAGAAATTACGATAATAGTTGCTTTTTTCTTCTGAAGAAATTAATCTTCATGTAAATAATGCATGTGTATCTTGGATCATACATAAGTAACCACGCTTTAAGGGAATGTCGATTAGTCTCCTTGCAAATGTAATAGCGATAGATAGAACAGTATGATGCAATTAATTGTAATAAAAATGAATATCTAATATTTATCACACAAATATTTAAAATTATACGATACACGAAAAATGATATACCGTGGGGTTTTTTTACATGAAAAATATATTTCCACCACTCGCTTATGCACCTGCATATCTTCATCTGCAAATCGATATCTATCTTCCACTGCTTGCTCTCTCACAATTAGCATGCATTTTATACTGTTAATATGAGATCCCTGCTTCCAGTTGAACGATACAGTGAATCAGAGTCTCAAATTGGAAATAGTGGCAGTGAGGACAATTGCAACTTTGGCAATTCAAATGCAATTCCTTCCAGTAATAACAAAGAAGCTAGTGGGAAAAATCATACTACTATTCAAAGTGGACACGTCCAAAATAGTGGCACTCTTAATAGCTCGGACAATGCTTCGATTCAATTTTCGAACGGATCAATGTCTAATGGAAATTTAGAACATATTACAACACCTGTCAAAGAATGTCATAGTAATAGTAAAGACTCCAATAAAAATAAATCTGGAAATAGTGCGAAAAAGAATAGCAATAAAAGAGCTAGGAATAGGTAGAAAAAGGTAGAAATTTCATTAATGTCATATTTAGTGAGAGATGTATTAGAACTCTTCGTTCCTCCATCATTATTATTAACATTATCATTTTTATTATTAGTATTGTCTTTAGTAGTAGTAATGGTATTATTCTTGAGCGATATGGACATTGTCACCATTTATGACTGAATTCTTCCCCCACTTGTAACTTCATATTCGTCCTGTATCTCATGGTATACTCCAAGTGCGATAATTTAGTTACACCCTGTATATATATATTTAACGTTTGTTGCACAAGGTCTGAAATGTTATCTCATTAGATGTTATAAATAATTATTTTTATACATAACAAACAAAATATTTTTATTTTATCATAAAGTTATATATGATTAAATTAACATATTTTGTCTCCTAAGTTAAACATGTTAGTTTTATTGTATTTTTTTGTATCGTGTGCGTGCATACGTGCGCGTGTACGTTTATATACATATGTTTTCACTTTTAATGAAATGATTCATCTAATCGCGCATGTATATTGTGACTCAAAGTTTCAGTTTATTTTTTATTAACGCAAAGAGATACAGTTATCAAATATATTATAAATTAATATCAGTTAAGTTTGATAAAATTACCAAGTAGATATATTCATTTTATATATAATTAATTTTATATAATTTTATAAGTGCATAACGCGATATGTAAAATAAATAGTTAAACAGATAAAAATGTCTTGTCTCTTTTTGAATTTTAATTCTCACATTTAATTGTCAATTTTGAATTTTCAAATACCCAAAACTTGATATTAAAGAGACAAAAAAAATTATAATATAACAATGTGTTTTATTTTAATCGCCTCAGACTATCTCGTAATCGAATTCAAGTTCTTGGACATCGCGGGCTGAATCCGGCCCGCGGGCCGCCAGGGTTGCGTATCCCTGCTTTAAGCCCATTCTACAATCGCGTAAACGTGGTTGTAAGTGGCTGTAGTTGCATAAAGAATTGACTAATCACAGTTGAACATTTTTGACTGTTTGATTGGTTAATTCGCACTACCATTTACAACTACGTTTATGTAAACTTGGAGAAAAAAGGAGTCTGGTGCAGATAACTTTATACAACATATAACAAACGAAACTTTATTATTATAATAAATATGCTTACATGATTCGGCTCATTTTTTAACCTTCTTCAGAGACAAAGCAATAACATAAATAAAAAAGGATCAGGAGATGTTTAAACACAATGAGCTGTCCCACAATCAAGAAATCAAATGTGAAATTAATTCCATCTAACAATACATATCACATAAAAGGAAAAGAAAAGATAAAAAAAAGAAAGAAAAAGAGAAAAGAAATTAATATGTCGAAATTAAGAAAAACTAGGTTAATATCGAAATTACATATTTTTTAAAAAAGCAAATATTCCACCGAGGGTGAGGAGGCTCACTATTTTCAAAAAGATACCGTATCGCAATCATTACAATAGGGAATTTTTGCGATACCGTTTATTCCAGATACGCTAGTCACGTTATCTTTTTCTTCATATACCTAATTAAGAAAAAGATAACGTACAACTTTAGCGTTCACCGTATCTGAGATAAATGGTATTGCAAAAACTCCCTAATCAATGTTCAAAAACCGGTATTTGAATATTTAGGCCAGTCAGTTTCAGACACAGTGGAGTCACTTTAAATTATTTAATGGTATTAAATTGAAAATATCAAAAAACCAAATCAAAATGAAAAGACTCAGCTACTGTGTACAAGCGACATTGACTTTCTTTTTATGAAAAATGACAAGGTAATAAACCTAAATACCTTATCTATCATTAACAAGATTAGTTGCTTCTTATCGCTGCAAAATTTCTTTATTAATTTTAATTATAACATGTGCGTTTTACGACTTGTGACTTATGATTGGTTTGTGAGACCTCAAGACTGAACTTAAGATGATCTAGAATATAAGAACTGACCATAAATACCGGTCTATAGTTTTACAAGGGATTACATTTATAAGATACAAAAAAATGTTCCATAAAAACACGTATACATACACACATGTGCAAACGCACGCATTTACGAATGCTTATATAACAAAGTATATAGAATAAGGACAAAGAGCCAGTAACATAATTAATTTAAATTTAAATAATAATAACAATCATGTAACAAATAAAGCAATAAAGAAAAGTTTAATATAATAAATAATACATACATACGTTTCGTTTCCGATGGGGTCATTCTCAGTGTTACAGTTAAAAAATAAAAATCGTTAAACCATGATTAAAAATTACAAAAAACATTAATATTGCTTCTACGAAAATTACAAATAATTGTTCCTAAATTTGCATAAACATGTTTATTAGATAAGGATTGGAATATAAAAAGATGCATACACACTGACTAATCTTTGTTTACATTTGTATTGTTTCTAAATTATAATATACCGATTTATTATGTTTGATATTCTTTTGCTTTTTGCTTAGCACATGCGATGTCCTCCTCATTCACTGATGGTTGTAATCCACATGTTATTTCTTCCTCCCTAATAAACGCAAGCTTCTCTGCCTTTTCTATATAAAAATCCTTTTGTAATTCTTTCAATTCTCTTTTGTAAATGTCCAATTTTTCTTGCACAAGTTCGTTACAACGCTTTTCCGTTAAACGTCTTAAAGAATCCTTCCTGGTGATCTGATGTGGTAACCTATTAAATATTTTATAGAATATAATCAGATTTGTAAAATTTCAATAAAATATAGGCTAAATATGTGTTGTGTGTGATATTTGTTAAAGCTCTCACTCAGGTGCTGGTTTATAAACAAGATTAAGTTTTTCCAAGATCCATTCAAAACGTCTGTAATCCCAATGCCGCAAATTCTTAAGCACTTTCCTTCGCTTTGCAATTGTTTCTAACAATTTAACTTTTATTTTCGTGTTCTTAGGACATTCCATTAAAAATTCTTGCAGCTGATGTATGTCATTAGTCATAATGGCAACTAAAAAGTAAAAGCATAATAGTCCATTATTCTATAATCTATCATGTTAATTTATAACAAGACTATACTTGCTTGTAGCTTCTGGCGAATTTTCATCCAATCTGTGTCTTTTAACCAATTCCAACATCTTGTCTCTTCTAACATAAATTGTTTCTTTGCGAGGTAAAAATTGTAACGTAAACATTTTTTTAACAATATCACTGGCACTGATAAAAAAATATTTTATGTAGATAGCATGTTTAATTAGAGTAAAAACTTATCTAGACAGATGTACAGTTACATTATAGTGCATTTACCTTTTCAGTTCAGGTAACTCGTTGAACTTTTCGCCAAAATCAGATGATTTGACATCAATTTTTAACCCTAAATCACCAGATGTTTCAGATGACAAATATGAGATTTTCTCTGGTCGTACCCAAGTAATTTTGTAATCGGCTATAGTAGCGTATCTTCTTAAAAGGTTACTACCGTTTTTCAACAAATTGGCGGCTGTCCTTGTCGTTTGCTTATAATTAATTATCATATTCATAATATTTTGCCCTTCTTTTAATTATACAATGTTCAATAAAGACCTTTTAATTATATACAACGTGGATATTTGAATTGATCTGGATTCTTCAACGACTTCAACTAACAAACTCCTCCCACTCTCTCTCTCTCTCTATAAAGCTGAGTCCACAACCTCGCTTTAAAGAGGCCGTCCGTAAAGCCAAGAAAGTAAGAAATTGACCAATCACAGAGAATTTTTTTTCTCGCATTCAATAATAATTGGTCAATTTCTTACGGTCTCTTAAAGCAAAGTTGTGGACCCAGCCTAATCATTCGTTGCTGGATCGACGGATCCAACAGAACCATCAAGCTGCGTTCACATTCAGCAAAGGGCGCGTTCAGCGGACTCAACTGTTGAGTGAGCGCTCGCTGTTATTAGTGTATTCTTTTAGATCATCCAATCAGAATTTTAGATCTAGAAGAATACACCAATAACAGCGAGCGCTCACTCAACTGTTGAGTCCGCTGAATGTGCCCAAAAAAAAAAGTAGCTTTCCAAATGTGTAAAATTCTTGAATATGATTGGCTGCGATCAGCAGACTCAGGGTGCAAACCCATACAGCGGAATAGCGTAACGCGGAACGAGAGCAATAACGGGCATTCCGTGTTTCTAAAGAAACTCGTGATTGGTTCTGCTCTCGTTCCGCGTTACGCTATTCCGTTGGATGGGTTTGCACCCTCATAGCTCCAACACACTTGACGCGGAAACGCTTGCCGCGCGGCAATATGTGATGCGGTAGCCAATGAGCTTACAGCTCTTGACATATTCATTGGCTACCATGTCACATTTTGCCGCGCGGCAAGCGTTTCAGCGTTCAGTGTGCTTAGAGACCCTCTAATCAGAGTCGCGAAATAACGTTTCCAATATTGATTGGTGCTGACATTTTTCAGCAAAAACCGGAAATAGTCATGGCGTTAAATTTAAATTGACCTACATTCGCTGCCAATTTTGCTCTTTTTTCAAGATTACGAGGAAAGACTTTCGTAATATAACCCTTTTTTGCAGAATTGTTGCAGTCTGGCGCAGAACAACCAGTCATTTTAGAAAATATAATTTTATGAAATACACAGTATTAGTATAAAATATATAATAATGTAATTTCTTTCTGATAACTGTATTTAGATTCACATGTATTAGGTGTTAATGTATCACAATCATAGTCTTTTTATTGCAACTGCGATGGTGTTCGTACGTGCAGTAGTATTATATTTAATCGTTACTTCCGGTTTTTGCTGAAAAATGGTATCGCCGATCTAACCTTATTGACGTTATTTCGCGACTCTGATTAGAGGGTCTCTAATCATATTATTTCTGCCTCTCACTCTACTCGTCCTTCTACCCCCATCACTACCATCAGCGGTCCATTTGCTAAATAGCCGGTATTCACAGTCAGTTCTTATTTGAAGACTGTCTTAAGTAATTTCCTAAGACGCGAATGCAGCCCTTTGATTGGTTCGTAACTCTTCAAGACTGAACTTGAGACGGTCTTGAATATAAGAACTGACTATGGCTGCGTTCCGTTTCGGGCATATGCGCGCATTTTATATAGTGAGCGTCACGTATACTATAGGGGAATATGCGCGTATATGCGGGAAATGGAACGCAGCCTATGAATACCGGCCTATATGTCGATGATGTGCGTCATTCGTCGCTCTGCAACCAATCAGAAAAATCATATCATCGATTTGAAGCAAAGAGAATCCTGTTTTCTGATTGGTTGCAGAGTCGTCGTACGATCAGATGCAGTGTGAATCCAGCATTAGGTTTACGTAGATAAAAGAAACAGGGAATGCGGAAACAAAGAATAAATATTTCAACCTATCAAAAACTGTGTATTCCACAGTACATAATTTCTGATAGGTCACTTTCAATAGACTAATCGTATTTTTCGTATTTTTTAACCAACTCTGATTAAAATCGAAATCTCAAATCGATATCTCAATAAAAATATCGATACGAGAAGTACTGTCATGGCGCTGTGTCTGTCGTCTACTCCTTGATTCGTCGAGCTCAGTGGTCTACCCCTGTCTCACCTGTTCTTCGTTTCACTTTATTTCACTTCGCTTTTATATGCTTTTACAGGAAGCGCGAGAAATGGCCTGTTCCGCTGTACGGTCGCCCGTTCTTCGTAATTCTACGGTATAATGAGTTACCTTATAAAGATAAAAGATAGTGCATGTTTTCCTGTCTCCGAATATTTTATCGTTTACCATTGAGTTTGTGATATACTGTGGTATTATGTAAATCTCATTGGGGAAGAGAGAGAGATCATTGAAGAAAATGACGTGTGTTAATTTTGTAATTTTTTAAATGTTTCGTACAATATTAGGATTACGTGTATCTCTAGAGATGTTCTGTAGATTCACATATAGTAGAATTAAAATTAAAAATATTGACTTTATACATTCTACTGAATATTTACAATTTAATTTTATTTATATCGTGTCATTCTCAATGTTATTTATCTTTTAGAAATAAAACTAGTACAGCGCACGATTACGTTTTTCCTTTATATACATATATATATATTTCATAATTAAATAAATAAATATATGTACTTGTTAATTCAAGATAAGGCATTATGCGGCTGCTGCAGCTGCTCAATGTTCCAGTGTTACGACCCCAGAGCTTCAGGTATTGCCGAGTAATAGGGTGACAGTTGCTGCGCTTGATAACACTAATCCTGTTGCTCAAGTATCAATCATCTTTAGGTATGAAAATGATACTGCGAGTTGACAAATGATGTTACGATATCGACATATATACTTTAATGCTTAGTATAAGATAATCTGTCTTGTTCTTTTGGTGTTTAGAGCTAGCTCGCGCAACGAGACGTATGATACACAAGGTACAGTGCATCATATTCGAATCGCTGCTGGTCTAAGCACTTGTAGATCAAGTTACTTTGGAATAACGAGAAATATCCAACAACTCGGTGGAAACTTAACTGCTACCACTGATCGTGAAAGCATCGCATATACGTTACAAATTACGAGAAATCATTTGTGAGCAATTTCTTTATAACACATATATATATATATATATCTCAAATATACCAAATAATGTTCAATACTTGTATTCTTATATCACAACAGAGACAAAGCTTTGATTTTCCTAGAGGATGTTACCACACAGCAAGTGTTCAAGCCATGGGAAATATCTGATCAACTACCCAGGTTGCGCTATGAATTATCCATGATACCGGAGACAATCCGTATAATGGAATTGTTGCACAAGGCAGCTTATCGTACTGGACTAGGTTATTCTCTATACTCTCCAAAGAGACAACTTGGAAAAATCAATACAGAAACTGTATGTATGTAATGTTGTGTGTTAATAGCATGTAGAACAAGAGAAGAATTTACTCTCTTCCTATACAGCTACAACATTTTGTCAATACTTGGTTTACTGGCTCGAGATGCGCGGTTGTAGCAACGGGCATGTCACTGTCAGATGCGACACAATTTGCTTCGAATCTGAAGGTAGGCTCGGAAGATAATATTACGGAAATTGCCAAATATCATGGAGGAGAACTTCGCAAGGAGCGATCCTCCGAATTGTCCACTGTAGCTGTAGCCGTTGAAGCAGCAGGTTTAAACAAAGAGAAAGATGCTCTTGCTTACTCTGTGTTGCAAAGAGCAATCGGTTCTGGCCCCCGTGTAAAGTGGGGCTCCAGTGTGTCTCCACTAAACAAAGCAATCTCTAGTGGAACGAACACCGACCAATTTGCCCTTTCGGCATTTAATACTTCTTACAGTGATTCTGGATTGTTTGGTTTCGTTCTGTCTTCGGTACCCAACGTCGCTGGTTCCGTAAGTTTTGTCATTTAACATAAATATAAAACTGATACACACAATTATGTCATTTATTTTGCAGATAACAAAAGCTGCTACCGAGTATCTGAGATCACCTAAGCTTTCCGACGCTGATATCGTGCGCGGTAAGACTACGTTGAAAGCGGAAATATTATATACTGTAGATAATGATGCCATGTACTTGGAAAATATGGGGCAGCAAGCAATTATTAAAGGACGCGTGTACAAACCATCCGATCTCGTTGCAGAAGTAGACAAACTGACTACAGCTGAAGTCAAATCGGTATGCATATTTCATTTTTCTAGCAATCGTTTACTTTCCTTTTTGTTTCTTTACAATTTACTCTTTATAGAATGTTTAATCTATACATTACACAAAGGTACTTGTACACAAAAGTTATATGGTAGAAGCCAGATCCTTGCATAACATATAATGCAAAGAAAATCAACCAAAGTTCTTTATTTTCGGCCTTTATAAATAAAAAAATAAAATAAAAGCATTTTTTAAATATTTTATACATTACGCAAAGGCCTCTATTTAAGACTTGATTAAAAGCGGCTATATTTCTTTACGATACTTTTAGGTTGCTGGAAAACTTGCGAGCGGAAAATTATCCATGGCTGCAATCGGCAACTTGTGCACAGTTCCATATGTCGATGAATTGAAGTAGACACATAATAATGAAAATCTAGATAGTATCGTTTTGTGAACCTTCGAATTTTAAATATTTTGTCCAGTTTAGAGATATATATATATATATATATATACACGTTTATCAGAATATAGAATCTACTTTGCGATATTAATAATAAAAGAGAATATCGCTGTAATTTACTTAGTTGAATATTTATTTGAATTTTAGTTGTCGCGTTTAGTGTGACAATGTGGAAAAAAAACAAAGCGAAAACATAAGACGTTATAAAAATTAATAAAAATGTCAAAATTCACGCTAAATATTTTTCTCAATAATATTTATCATTATACCAATAATATAAAATATGATTTTCGTATCAGTAGTTCGTCTTCTGCACAAGATTGATTAATTGAAAATTTATATAAATTTATATAAATTTTCAATTATCGATTAATAAAAAAAACATATGAGAAATATATAGAGTACATGTTCAACACACTATGACGTGTGAAAGTGTGAGTCTTTTCATTTATTTAATAATTTAATAAAGTTTTATTTCTTCTATAGAGTAGAATTTATTGTGTTTTCTCGAAGAAGATCGCAACGGTTTTCCATTGTTAGTCCTGTCTATCATAGGCCTCAAGTTGACAAGGTTTTGCAAAAATTGAAACTGGAAAAAAAAAACGATAATTGATAGATTAGATAAGTAATAAAAGATTGTGCGAGCTACTTTTTACATGTTTACTTACATGTTCTTCCAGGATAGAATCTAGTCGATTGAAAAGCTCCAAAACGTGCGTATCTTGCGACAATAAATAGTGTTGGTAGTGTGAGTCTAGAAGCATACAGAACCATTCGTACAACTGCTGATCATTCGGCTGTGAATTCTCGTCAAGCGAGTCCGTTTTCTCGTTCAATTTACACATTAAATATTCCAATAATTTAAGTACTTGGTCGAAAGTTAAACCAGTTTTCAGGTGAGGTAACAACAAAACACTGGAATAACTGATACTAAGCACTCTGTCGAGAAAATTGTTTCTGGAATAGGGATTACTGGCTTTCAATGTACTATCGGTCGTGCCGTTTTGCAGAGAAACGAATACTTTGTTTGAATTTTTCAAGGTAAATGCCAAAAGGTCCACTAATAACTTCTCTGGCAAATCTTTAAATGTATCGAGGCACCAACAGACTGACGCAACGTCGTCAGATTCCATCAATGTCGGAATCACGATCTCTTGTATCGCGGAATCACTCCATCCCTCGTTCAAATAAGAGCAGATCTTCTTTGAGATATTCACAGGTATACGACCTATCGATGCGTTTTTCGTGCATGTTTGATTCTTGTCCCACTGAGCCACTGTCGCTTCCTGTATCACAATAATATCATCTGCATCATTTCTATCATTCTTGAAGCGCAAAGACGAGCCTAACATAGCAGCTATTCTTTGCGGTGCCAGGTGATAAGGCGCGACGGCCAAATGTCTATTTGCCGCCAACAGTAATTTGTCCTCTACCTTCCAGAGCTTGGCGTCGTTGGTGTAAAGTTTTAGCTTTTGCACTGCTTGAGCTGATTTGAATTGTACATTGTATATCATAAGTATTGCCCCTTCGTCTGTGACATCAGCACCATAAATCGCTATGGTTGTCTCATTAAGATGCGTCATGACAATGGGATATTTTGTATTGATATTAGTAATTACACTAATCAACTTATTAGATTCCACGTCGGAAGACGTCGCTGTCAACAAGTGACTATACAATCTACCGTGTGACCCTGAAACAATCATATAATCATGCTTATTTTATCATCTTAAAAGAAGGAAAAGAGGAGGGATCCGACGCACTATTTTAATACATACATAAAGTCAGCAGATATGCATCATTCTTATGGTGTATCACAACGTGTCCCGTGAGAACCTCTGATTTTCGTTTCAATTCTATCCTCTTGATAGTATCCGCTTTCTCCAAACAGGTATCCTCCTCCAATCCAACTACTATATAGTTATAGACCTCTTCTACTCTCGTCAAGCAGAATAAACTTGTCTTTCCATTTAAATGTATCAGCTGGCAGTTCAATAATTTCTCCTTAGCCCTAATTATACCCTTGCTCATCCATGTCTTCCTGTTGTCGATGGCCCACGCTAGAGAAGCCGTAGCTCCGTTTTGTTGGACAAGAATGGGTGACGAGTCGTCATATGGTAGAATAGCATAAAGCGGGAACGAAAACTTGTGTCCCTTCACGTTGTTCAGGTCAGCCTCCTCTTCCGACCAAACCCGGATCTTCCTCTCGTTAAAGACAGCGACATAACGCTGCTTGAACCTATCATAAATGACTTGCGTCGTCAATCTTTCTTTGCTAGACCAACTGCTAATCTGTTTTAAATCCTGCAGCTGAAAATACATATGGACCTTCAAAATGTTTCAAGTTAAAACGCGCATTTAAAACAAGATGATCAAGTGTCTAACCTTATATCGTATGACTATGTTCCTGCCGAGAGTCACTATCGCGCATCCTGGTTCCTTATCCTTCTCGACGCCGAGTAAACTCTGCTGGTCGATAAGTGGACATAACGTGTAGTACGAACTGAGCTTTGCCATTCTTATACATGTAAAGTCTTTTTCGGAATTTGTCGCTTGTCTAGCAATTTATATCTCTTTCTAAATGCACTCAAATGCAGCCACAATAGAAGGAAAAGAAATAAGGAATTAGGTTAGGAATAAGAAATTTCAGCCTATCGGAAGCTATAATTGGTTATTACTTATAAATCCAACCAATCATATTCGATCACTCGGTAAGCGGGTACTCGCCCGATAGGTTGAGATTCCTTCTATTGTGGCTGCACCCTTATAAGAGTTGATAAGAGAGGGTACCTTCCAACAAGCGACACAGATGACGACCTAGTCATAAGGTGCTTTTTCATGCGCAGCACGCTGCAGCAGCAATTCGTTACTATTGGTTAAGAATTTTATGTAAGCTAGATGAACAGCAAGCAGCAAGCGGCAAAATCGAGAAAGCGTACAATATGTCCGTCGTTTCATTATGAAAATATTATTTATTGCAATAAATATTAGGAAAATAAACGAAAAATGGCTTCGGATAAGGTACGGATACATGTTTGTAAATTAGATCATTTTATACTTTACCACAAATTTGAAAAAGTAAAGTGTAAAGTATAAAATAATCTAATTTACAAACATTCGTACCTTATCCGAAGCCATTCTTCGTTTATTTTCCTAATATTTATTGCAATAAATAATATTGCCTCGATTTTGCCGTTTGCTGCTTGCTGTTCGTTCGGTTCAACGAACTGCGGCAAAATGTATTTTGCGCCGGAAGTGCGTCATCTAGCTTACATAAAATTCTTAACCAATAGTAACGAATTGCTGCTGCAGCGTGCTGCGCATGAAAAAGTACCTTATATAGGCTGCGTTCAGCAGACTCAACACAGTTTTGCAACCGTTTTAGGATTCGTCTCGCTGATTGGATTATAATTTGAGATCTAAAGGAATAGTCCTATCTCAGCAAAGAATCATAAAACCGTTGTAAAACTGTTGAGTCTGCTGAACGCGACTATAGTGTATCAGTACGTCCCCTTATTGTTCGCTAATAAACAAGGATGAAATGATCACTGTGTTGTATTGTGTCGCTTGTTGGAAGATACACACACACACAGAATGAGCAGATCAACACGCATTGTTACCATAAAATCTGATGAAATCAATCCACGCGGTGGAAGGGATATGGTGTGTGCAAAACTCGGAAACATGCGCCTTCCTTTCACGGGCTACCTACGGAGCAAAAAAAAATAAGATCAAAATCTCAAGCGACTGGTCACGAAAAAGCTCGGTTCGATTCGGAAAAGTCCAAACAACAAGCAAGCACGCAGCCCATGTGATACATACTTTTAACTTGCATCATCCTGATTTTCCAAAACACCAATAAAATACGACTATTAAGTAAAGACATTCGGTTCTTATGGAAGTTCGCGCGACTGTTGAATTTTTATTAATTATCGATATAATGTCAACGTTCTTCAATTATATCTGTGGGCCTGCGGAGTCTCATTTGATAGTCACTTATTGTTTTGCAATAAAAAAATAGGAAGTTTAACTGATGACGTTATAGTTGAACTTCGCATTCCTCTAGCAAGGTAATTATATTTTTAATATAATAAACATTTGCTTAGATATGAGCTACGTAATTCATCAAAATGGAAGTTTTTTCCTTTTTCTCAAACTGCAATACAAAAAATCATCGAATTTTTACAAAATAATTTTATGTGTGCGAGGGAGAGAGAGAGAAAGAATATACATGCTTACGCGCGTATGTAGCAATCATTTGATCGCAGCTCGGATCCCCCATACCATTTTTGCATCGTACATTGAGTTACGCCGCTCAACGCCGCTCCTGACTATATATCACATTTTCTCTATACGTCATTCGCTATTATTTCGCCTATCATAATTTGAAAACTAAGCTTCGGATAAAATTGTGGCAAAGAAATAATCGTTTTAGAATTAAATCAGAAATTTTAAGAATATACGTTTATTTTCAATCATCTGTATACACATATATAGATACATATTTATAACATTAAATGAACCTTAAACCTGCAAAATCACATATCATATAGTAACGAATTAAAAAATGTGTTGAAAATTTATATTACCATTTTTGTGTCAATTCAAATTTTTTACTTGAGACAGTATATAATAGTGCCTTATCGCTTTTATATTGTTATACTCCGCTTTTGTCTTTACACTATAGATTACTAGAAGATTTAAGGTGATGCGGGACTCGCCTGTATTAAATTGATAAAACTATAGCGTTTTTGACGTTTTCGTTCCTGTCTTATAATTTCTTCATAATAGTTTCGCGGAATAAAAATTTCTTTATTTCCATAATTAAATATATTCATGCTAATGTATCTTCCCTTGGTCTATATTGTGTTCAAAACTGAAAAAAATATGAAATTACAGATTTCTTTATTCATTTTTATCTTCAGTGTTGGTCGCTATATAAAGGATAATGAAATCTATGATTTTTCCAGCTTGTACACAAAATATACCAGGAGCAGGTATACCTGAGTATTTATTAATTTCTGGAGAAGCAAAATTCTTATTCTGCGAAGAAACGTCAAAAACGCTAGTTTTATCGGTAATACACTGAGGCGGCTCCAGCATCCCTTAAGTGTCAGAAGCGTTAATAATTCATGTCGCAGATGCAAGTTTCACAGAAATCCGACCACCCACGTATCTAACTCACTACCACACCGCATCAACTTTGATGTCTGCTTTTGAAGTACGATGCAACAATCGACGATCGCAAAGATAGCCAAAGCCTGCAGTATACGAAAATTTAAGGGACTCCTTTATCCTCCTCCCTCCTCGTCGAGCCTCATTGTGCAGTGTCCTGTATTGTAGAACGAACGGCTCAATCTATCGAAATGCGAGGTTTCTTTTATAAGCGAGTTCTCACAACAGATAGAAGCACACGCCCATTTTGGCATACACGAGACCAGACACTAATATATGCGGCGTATAATAAATATTCCACTTTTGATTCATATTGCAATTTCAGTTGATTTTGTTTCCATCAGAATCGGTGTGCATATATACATATTATATGTATAGTATAATATCCGTCAGAGTAATCTACATCCGCTGTGTGTGTTGCTCGCTGAGTGTGAATAATCTCCTGATTATCGCAACGATTAATACACGGCTTTGCTAATGCAGTATACATGCACATACATTATGACCAATTCGAACAAATTGAAACAATGTATTTGGTAAATTTCTTATTCGTGTGTAGTAAAGGTAACAAAAAGGAGAGATTATTACAAACTTCTTTGGCATCTTTACATTTTTAATTTCTATTTCACCACAATCTTGTAACATCTGTAGAATCACGAGAATAGCGAAATATTTTCAATTCACTATGTTGTTTTTTTTTTTTTTTCCAATTCTTTTAGTAGAATTTTTAGAAAATTCACACAATATCGAATTCTTACGTCAAGACTCATTCAATTGACTTTATGTATCTAACTTGCAAACTAGTCGGTTCGTCCAGATTTAATTTTACTCACACACGCACGTGCGTGCGTAATACATAAATCTCTCTCGACTATGTAACAAACCAGCGTGGTTTATGCAGATGTTCCCAAAAGTTTGATTCATCCTGGCGCTAGTTTTAGGCGCAGGACTCTGTGTAGGGCACTGTACCACCGGATCAGAGCGCTATATAAATATATAAAGCATGAAACCCTAGCAGCAGGATTCAATTCAATTCAGTTCGATTCACGCAGGAGAAAGAGGAGAATACATTTAGTTTCTCACCCTTGTATCAGTCGTCCCCTATTGGATGTACGATTGAAAGTTGTCAAAGTAGGGATGAGACTATATAGCCTTAGGATGGATCGTCAAGAGACAAATCCTTCGAGGAAGACACGCATGCAATCGAATGCAACGCGAAAACGAATCGTGACAAATCGTACGTTATTTAGTAGCCAAAATTTTCGAAGAAAAATCGCATAATTCGCGTAAATGTGCATGTATTCGTTCATCGTTTATCGCCATGCAAGAAAAAATGGATATTAGAATAACGTTATCTATAGTCATCACTACTATTCTGTTAATGAGTAAGTACTTGTTTTAGTATATGATAAATGTGACATTCATATAAAATGCGATAAGAGGACTTAAGTAGAGAGAGAGAGAGAGAGAGAGAGAACCCTCATGAATACAATATTATAAAAGTTGAATAAAAATTTCTATAGTTCCCCCCCCTTTTGTATTTAAAATATAATAAATGATATAAATGTAACCTCCCTATATATATATATATATACATTATACACTCACCAATAGATTCAGTAATGACTATAACATATTTTTTCCAAAAGCTTCTTTGGAAGTTGAATATGTGTCTAAGACAGAAGTATATACATAATAGTCACACACGTATGCATTATTACTAAGAATATATATGTAGTAGCAACGATATAACAAAACTGTTATTTTCAAATCTTATGATGAATAATATAAAAATGGATAACATAATACAGATATTCAATTTGTAATTTAATTTAAATTGAAATTTAATAGAGAATTAAATGATGAATCTGATACCAAACAAACCATTGGATTTGTGTAATTTCTTGAAATTTTTTAAATGAAAGAATATGAAATCGTGTTGTGTGAAGATATTTGCATTATTGTCGTCACCAACCACAGCTATTGCATTATCAATCGCTATCCAAGTTGGAACGCAGACTTGGAATACCAATTGCAACAATCGTAGAGATAAAAGGGGAATGAAAGTGTGAGAGACACTGCACGTCAATCGAATGTTAAATAGTCGATCGTGAGGGCATACCAAACTCTGTTCTTCCTCGCGTCATTTTTTCTTACAATTCTTACAATCAACAACCTCCTATTGCAAATCACTACGTGTCTTTGATTGGTACTTGATCATCTTGTATATTACGCGTGTGTCGATTATGCAACACAATCGAGATATGACGTAGGTATACATATATTCAAATTTCAATAAAATGGATCTGAAATTAATGAAGCAATTTATTCGTTTTTTCTTTTTATTAATTCAAGAATTGTAATAATATGCAAATCAAATAAAAGGAATTTTTTTTACAAATTCACTATTATATAAAATTATAAAAATATACAATTGTATATATTTATACAATTCTGCTTAAATTTTATATTTGCCTATCCTTTTTTTATAGCGTGATACAACATCTGCGAGTAGATGTTATTCTTATTACAAAATGATATCATATACATGTATTTATATATGTATATATCTAAGATGGCCATCCGGTTTTTCACATTGGTAATTTGTAATCTTTGTAAAAATGGTCTGCTAATCTTTTACAAAAGAAATTTGCAAAATTGTCAAACTTGGAGAGATCCTGTGAGGACAAAAGTCGCAAAGATTGGTTGCGATTGCGATGAAAAGTGTGCTCGGTCGTGTTTTAGATAGAAGATCCGGATCCCTTTTTCATCAATACGTATACATTACCTGAACATAATATGAAATAAAAATGAATGTAATGCAATAGATAAACACTTGGTTCGTCTTCCGTCTAATATACACACTCTCTCTCTCTCTCTCTCTCTCTCTCTCTCTCTCTCTCTCTCTCTCTTTCTTTGAGATCTCTCTCTCTCTCTCTCTCTCTCTCTCTCTCTCTCTCTATATGTGAGAAAAATTTACTAAATTTTAATAAATAACTTTTGTAAAATATAAAATATCTTTGAATAATCCTAGCGGAATATTTAATAAATGTAAACACATATATATTTTTATTAGTCCAAGAACCACGTTAATTTGATTCAACTATCATTTTTTTTCATTTAAGTATCTAAATATTTGTTTACCGCACAAATAAAGAAATATTTATTAAAATTTAATAAATTTTGTTCTCAGTGTATATGCACACACACGCGCGCGCGCACAACAAACAAACAATATATATTATTAATAGCTTCTAAAGTCTTGAGTACGATATATACTCTCAGCGGGTGCAGATCACCTCCTTTTTATCTGATATGGTCCTCCGTCATATGTATTATACATAGATATAACATCAGCGAGCCTCTGATCGAAGTATTCTTCGGTCGTTCATCTTTCTTGTTATGATCATCTTTCATCGCAGTTCATTTTTCATGCGCTGATCGAATTATTTCTGTTTCATAGAGAGAACGAGTTACAGTTTGGCCAGAGATCCAGAATCTGTAAATTCGTGGGCGCAATGTGAAACGGCTATTGAGGAAATAAAGCAAGAAGACCGTGCAACAATCGTGGACGATAATCCCTCCAGATTGTATTCTACGTGGCTGTCTCAAGAGTAATTGTTTCTTTCGCACAAACTGGATTTGGTCTTTATAAATGATTTGAATCTTAAACAGAAATTAATATGTTTTGTTGTGCAGATGTGAAGTGCGAGCTGGCCCTGAGTATATAATCAGAAAATACACATTTTTCGAGAACGGCACGTTTCTTCTGTTACGTTATCATTATGCCGAAGAATCATGTAGCATAGCGACACACACTGTTACAATTCGCGGTTCCATCAAGTTGCTAGGATCGTCTGCAATTGTTTCTGGCGCTACTGAAACGAGATTTCACGTAGATGCCATTAATATTGTACCTTTGAATCGACAGGTATTGCCGAGATATGATTAATTCGCGAGCGTAAAATAAAATTATTCTAAATAAAAGAAGTGATTTTGGTATACTATGCAAACCCTTAAAACAACGAGGAAAAAGAATCTTAATTTAAATAAAGTTACGCAATTGATTAATTTGGAGAAGTCAGGACTTATTGGTAAATTTATATAGTATTTGTGATTAATAGAAATTAATTTCACAGGTCGCTCATAAGTTTGGACACAGATTGAACTTAACTTGCGGTCCCCAGCCGAAATGGCGACCTTATGTTCCCGAAGTGGTTTACGAACAGCCGCGGCAACGCTCAGCAGCGCCATTCTGGCAAGGTCCAATCTATAATTCTTTACAAGTACACTCGTCTACGAAGAAGAGGCTCGGTATGAACTGTTTAGAGTCTTTCGGGATTGAATTCACCGAATTGAAGCTGCTGAGGGTGCAGAAAAAATCGTTTGGAAACTCTAGCAGCGATCGTTACCATAAGCTTCCACAATTTCAACTTTTTTTAGCTAGCCCAATACCTAACATTTATTCTCGTTGGAATTGCAAACCGACCTCCTTACAGTCTACAGCTATGATCCGCGCCGACACGGTACGTTTTGTTCATACGATCTTTTGCAGGCTTAGAAAACAACGCGTGTTACCATTATATTATTACTTTTTTCCTGTCTCTAGATTTTCGCATGGAGTGATAAAATCGATCTTTTTACTCCGTGTCTAATAGTAGATAGCATTTTTACAGTAATGATATAACAAATTTAGCATTATACTATTTATAGTCCCTTATTATCTCTTGTGTACTATTCAATAGATATAGCAGTATCTTTGATTGGATAGAAACATTTTATTTATATAAGTAACAATTTCAATAATACGAAACTATTACATCAACGCCTAGCTACTATGCGAAGAGTAGCACGTTTCATTTGTCTTACGGAAAACAATATATTTAATTAACGAATATTATTACGTTTCGGTCCTCGCTACGAAAACTAATACGTTTCAACGTTTAGTCGCGAAAAATAACATTATATTTCGCTTTATACCGCGAAAAACATAAAACGTTTAAACATATTATTATTCGTGGTATAAAATCAAATGTGCTACTTTTTGAAGGTCAAAACTCACAAATTCACTTTCGCGGCGAAAACGGGAGCATAAAACGTTCTTCGACGCAACTCGGCGTCATAAATGGAGTTTTTCGTAGGACAAATGAAACGTGCTACTCTTCGTAGCAGGCGTCGATATGTATGTTTTCTACACACTTTATAAGCTGCATACCAAAAATTTATAATACATGTTTATACATATATGCGTGCGTGCGTGCGTAACGTGAACAACAAATATTTTTATTCTCAGTAAATGATTAGAATTCATTCTTGATAACAACATTAATATTTAAAAACAATATTTAATAAAAATTATAATAAAACTGACGTCCGTGAATTATAATATTTAGAAATATAAATTCCTAAAGAGAGATAAGCATATTAAAGAATAAAAACATTATTTAATGTTAAGAATTTTAAAAAGTTTATTAATATAGGTTTAATAGAGAGAAAAGTTTGTAAAGTAACACCTACACATAAGTGTATAATATAATTGAGTAATATTGATTATTAAATAATAAATAATTTTAAAATTTAACAATTCACTTTAGCATTATGAAAAAGTAACGATGAATAAAATGATGAGTGGTTATTTTTTTAAATAATGGTAACAATGAAAAGTTACTTTTTGAAATAAGTAACGAGTAATTTTTCTATAAAAAATAATGGTAAATTTTTATAAAGAATTCTTGCTACTGAATTACTTCAAAATATGCGATAATTCTGCGATTTTTCGATGAGAAAAGCACATTGTATGTATAAGATTCTCATGGTACACACGATTATTTCTAATGTAAATTATGTGCATTGTACATATTTATCGCGTGTTTGTATATGTACATTACTTGATACATTTGAAAAAAGAAAAAATATATGACAAACTAAGAGAATAGATCGCGAGGATATAATATACGTATGTTGACGTTACAGGCGAGCGATTGCCCGATATGCGGCAGCGTGTCTCGGAGTACCGAGTTTAGTCCACCTCTTCTTCATCAAAAGGCAGCTTTACCCGCATTGATCGGAGGTTATTGGCACAGCGAGAGATGCGAAAGCTCCGAAGGTGGTATCTGGTCCAGACGTCAATTTCAGATACACTCAGGAGATAAATTATGGACCGGTCAATGGGACTATTACAATGATCCGCAATGTACAACGTTTTTGTACGCGATAACTGCAGCTGGAAGTTATATCCAGCGAATTGGAAGGCAAAGACGTCACAAACAGATCGGTCGAGAAACTTTTCTCGATCACTGTCTCAATGTCTCCACAATAAGATTCTTGTTCAAAAGGAGCGCTGCTAATTTGCCAACTAGTCGTACTGCAGTACAAAGCACGGATCAACTATATCGGAACAATAAATTTTTCGATCTCGCGAACGGATCGAAAAACGGCAAATGGTCCGTCACAACGGCCGATAAAAAGGTAGTACAAGGAAGACAGGAAAGATCGCTGACTGCAGAGGACATTCATCGACTGTTGCGCGACGACGAACAGTCTATAGTTGAATCAAGATTCGCAGCGATGCTACGAGGTCATCAGGCATACGAGATCACTACTAGAAAGCCTCTTTCCATTTGGAAGACCCTCGCTGGTACCACGGAGCTGGATCTGCACATTGCCGAGAGTATTTTGATTCCTGGGGACGCCGCGGTGTCCGCTCGTTGTAGCACCGATCAGCAGCTCGGCGTGCCGCTCGTCACCTGGCCGCGAAATTGCGTACCTCACACTATCGAAGCGCCCTCCACGTTAGGACTACGGGTCAAACTGGGCATCAACTGGAACGGTCAGTACATTCTGTTGTTGGGCTCGCGAGATGACAACGTATGGGAGGCTCCTCTACGTCAATGTGCGCAGATTCCACCCCACAATTCTGCTTTGAGAGCGCATCTTCGGAGAAGCATCGGCCTTCGTTTCGGACTGCTTTCTTCGAGAGCGTCGTCGATCCGACGAGTCTCCGCTTATTGGTGTCTCTTATCGCAAATCTTACTGTGCTCCGTATATTACCTTGTATGGTGATATCTGCACTACGATATAGCAATACAGATACAGTATATATATATATATATATATTAGGGTGTCCGTTAATTTGGCGATTTTCGAATTTTTCCATTTTCCGGGCAAAAAGTGGTTCAAAATAAATAAAAAAAAAGTTTTAAAAATATGGTTAATAATTTTAGTATACGTTGGAAGTGAAAGAAAGTGAAAAAAGTCGGAATTTTGCATTTTTCTTAATTTTTATGATAAAAATTTAGTTTATGTAAACTTGAATATATCAACGAAAAAAAATTTTGTTTGACCGCGCCCAATTGGAGGGTCTTCAGGCAGCATTCAAGAAAAGATATGCAAGTAGTCAGATTTTTTAATAACGTACAAAAAATTCGGTGGCTAAAATACTGAAAAAGTTTTTTTTTCCCATACAAATTCAGTACAAAACTTCATGTGCTCGGTGGCACGGGTTAAAAATTTTTATTTTTTTTTTTCCGTTGGGAAACTTTTTTTTTATTTATTTTGAACCACTTTTTGCCCGGAAAATGGAAAAATTCGAAAATCGCCAAATTAACGGACACCCTAATATATATATATTATACAATGTGTAAATATATAGAATTGCGAAAGTTGAAAAAGAGCGCAGTAGTTGCGCGGTATAAGAGTGGTGGCTGCAGACTCAACAGTTTTGCAACCGTTTTATTATTCGTCTCGCTGATTGGATTATATACTTTTAGATCTAAAAGAATAGTCCTATCTCAGCGAAGAATCATAAAACAGTTGTAAAACTGTTGAGTCTGCTGAACGCGACCAGGGATGCGATTAAATTAATTATCGTACGCTTTTCGTTGCATGTCTGGAAGAAAAGTCGAATCGATCAAAGTTTAAAAGAGCGCTGTATAATACACTCAACAGTAAAATTAAAGCATATTCTGCCCCCCAAAAATAAGCAAATTTCAAAAGAGTGTAACTTTGTCAAAAATGATTGTAAAAAAATTTGTTAAAACATTCTAAAGCTTGAAATCTCTACTTTCGAAAGTGGTAATTGATATTTTGATTTGATTATTTCTTCACGAAGTTATGCGGACACAAATGAAAGTGCGTCAAATCCGAAAAATCGGTTTACAGCATTCGAAAGCGTGAACCTTTACTTTTAATTTCCTTTTTTGTTGAGCTCTGTACGATTTTTTTTCACCGAGTTATTCAACGTTGAAGTAAGAATGATCTTTTTTACTTTAATACAAATTTTTATGCGATTTTTAATTCACACCATGGAATTTCTCAAAGTTAGTAAAAATTTTTGAGATTTGACGCACTTTCATTTGTGTCCGCATAACTTTGTTAAGAAATAATCAAATCAAAGTATCAATTACCACTTTCGAAAGTAGAGATTTCAAGCTTTAGAATGCTTTTTTACAAATTTTTTTACAATCATTTTTGACGAAGTTACA